GAGTTTTTATTTTTTTTTCTCTAGTTTAAAACTCTTAATTTTTCTACACAATATAACTAGCCTTGTTATACCTATCATCAGTTGCTATAACTGAAAGTAATAATATTCATAAAGATAATGGCTATTATCGGATAGATAAGATGAATCAATTGTAGTTTTCAGTGAAAAATGTAGGACTAGTGTTTTGTCTTTTTTGTAACTCATCAGCCAGATATACTTTCTGCCTAGGATAAATATTCACGCGGACAATCAAATTCACTGTTTACATTGTTTTGTGAAATGGGCTTTACAATTGTACTGTAAGACACTTGTATCATTCACTGTCCTCAATCAGACAAACTTCAAAAACTAGTAAGTACTGAACAGCTGTTTATTTCTGTTTGAGAGCTCTTCAGCAGTACGCATTCAAGACGCCGACAAGGATTGAACCAAATCTCACTGCAAATACTTAATCGTTATCCAACCGAGCCCTTAATCGATAGTTTGTATTTATAAACAGTATAAGTCTCAGGTTATTTACCATTCATTATATAATTTTATTCTGATACCTATATGAAATGATCAGCTTCAATAAAGTTGATTGAAAACTTAAAAAAACTGTTCAGTCAAATAAAAGTGATGTGTCAAATGAAGTCGTGATATGAGATTAATTTTAATTCAGTAATTTGGTACCCAAATGAAACTTTGTGGAATTCTAGCTCAGTCCACTTGAAAACGAATGGTAATGATTATCAGTAACATCTAACGATGGCCTTGTTATTTCTTATGAATACTAGCTATACCGTAGCTGCTATCTTGATATGGTGGTCTGGCTTGTTTATCTTGATGACCAAACCGAGCTATATTGGTTAGAACATATTTTCCTGTAGGTTCTACCATGCCAGCCAGGTTGATTGGAAAAAGCTGAAACTAAAAGCAGCAACTCAAGGTATGAGGGCGAAATCATCTACTGACTGTAGAGGGGTATGACAGCAGTGAAGTTTTTTCTTTGGGCAATAAGCATCTGCAGCGATTCTGCCTTCTTACAACAGAAGGAAAGGGTTAGAAAAGGTAGACCCTAAAACTGTCACACCTCACCCTACCTCATGGATTTCCGTCTCCAGCAGTAATGCCATTTGAATAGCAGAGCTAACACTTTAAAATATTCCAATAACAAAAGCGTGCGTGACCTGCCTCAAGCAGTTGTCCCTTAAGTTCTGCGGTCGCTCAGATCAACGTTTATCTCATGTCGTTTTCAAATTCTTCGAGAAGTACCCTTCCACCGTGTGCGCAACCGGGAAGCCACATCCGCTGTCATACCCGTAAAAGCACACGGGACCAAATCAATGGCAATAAAATCCTTCCTATACCTCTTAATAACTCACTTATCGCCAGGACCAACCCTTCTTTCATTCCTTTGTCTTCCTGCGTCGCTGACACAAACATTCTGATTTCATGAAATGCTATTCCTGGTCTCCTGAAACCCATTTGTAAACTTACTGTCGGAGTTTTTAGTGTTCGAACCTTGTATCAAACAGGGCAACATGCTGCCTTAGGTAGGACCCTAGATTCTCGTGCCATCAATTTATGCTGCTTCATTGATTCGACTTCAATTTGTCCGGATAAAGAACTAGCTCATTTTACGCTTCTCATATCTGGGAGCGTTGCTGCTGCTTCCCGTGGCTTTGTTGAAGTGGGTATAGCATTAAGTCCTAGGGCAGAACTAGCTCTCTCAGACTGGATTCCAGTAGATAATCGCTTATGTTCTGTCCGACTTAACGGAACAGTAAGGACTCATAAAGACGGGAAAACTCGCCGTTGTCTCTTTGTCGTCTATGCTTACGCTCTCACTAACAATAGCTCGGACGACGTAAGAGATAAGTTTTAAAGATACCTTTCTAACCTTCAAAAAGTTAGGCGCTACGATATATTTATAGTGTCTGGTGACTTCATTGCTCAAGTAGGTAGATTAAGTGAAATGGAAAGACACCTGGGCAGATCAGATGGTGTCGTAGCTCGAAGATCAGATAATGGCAACCGTCTGCTTCAACTGTGCTCAGATAATCACCTATTTCAAGCAAACACTAACTTTGCGCATAAAGAAAAACACCTTAATCACGGCAACCCCCGAAATCGACTCAACGATGGACCCAAGTAGATCATATTGCTACCAGCCATCGGTGGAGAGGCTCCAGTGAAGACTGCCGCTCATTCTGAAGCACTTGTTTAGATTCTGACCATACTCTAGTACGAGCGCTTATCTGTCTGCGTCTTATTAGACCTGACGAAGACACCGCAAGGAAACCTCTTAAGGTCCTACTTAATGAGAGCTTAGCTAAGAATATATTCCAGGAACAACCAGAAAAACAGTTAGGCGGCCATGTAGTAAGTGATGCCCACCCTGAGACAGCTTGGAATGATATCCATAAAGCTGTAGAAACAGAAGTGATATCTGCCAGTAAGGTAAACTGAAAGGTTCGGTAGAAGCGGTGGATTTCAGTAGCATCTACCAAAATGATGAATGCTCGAAAACTCATCCCGTCTGGCTCTAAGTACGATGAGGAGATGAGTCAGACTAGGCGCAGGCTGATAAAAAGCCTACACAACGATAGAGAACAGTGGGTGGGTAGCAAACGCGAAAGAGATGGGAAAGGCGACGGCGATAGGAAACAGTAGGCAACTATTCAGCCTTATCAAGGAAACTGACTGACTGACTGACTATGAGTACTAGGTATTGGTTTAACAACTGAATAGTGACACTTTATTTTTGTTATTTCAAAATCCTAATCTTATTTAATTACTTTATGTCTAAGAAAACATCGATTTCATCCATTTCTGGAAGGCGACAGTGCTGCCATCAGTGACTTTGGAAAATGATTGCTCTGTATCTAAAATTGTTTGAAGTCGGAAATGTAAACTACTGGATACTAACCAGGCAGTTTAATGATTAAGAACTCGATGTGAGACTCATGGGTCGTGCGTTCGGGTCATCAATGGACAAACAGTGTTAAAGAGTCAGCTTTACAGTGCTCCCTAATTATCAATGATTGATTAAGCAAGCACGGTAAGGATGCGAACTGCGAAATTCAATGATCTTTACAAACTTCAGATGCACTAATATTATGGAACTTTTTATCTGTAGCCGATGATTGTAAACCTGGGAGGAAAACTATGCCGAAAATCTGCAATCATTTGCGAGTAATTGAATAAGTCAGTCAGTCAGTTGCAACGTAGAACTTCGTACGTAAGTTCATCAGTTCATGTTGCCATACCACATTAGCACAGAGACGCAAATGTCAAACCAAATCCCATAGTGATAAAGATAGTAGAGGTATTAATGGTAAAGAAGAAGACTAGGGTTTAAAGATATTATTCAAAAAATATAATTCAGTGAGATAAGGTTAGAAAGACAAAGGTAGAGGTGTTGACGAATCCAGAAGATTAGGATTTGAGAGAGCTCAACGAATGGATGCACCTGCGCCATTGCAAACGATACTGAGCCACGCGGTTCAAGGTCTCTAACCATCGGTAGCTTCCATCTCGCGTACTCCAACCAGTTGGCATACATCTACCAACATGACTCAGTACACTTGTCAGTCATTTCACGGATTTCTGTCATGTTTTGGTTTGGCCGCCCCTAACTTTCTTCCAACCTGCTACTGCACCACAAAACACAGCTCGTCGAGGCAGTCGGTGGTTAGCCATACGTAACAATTGTCCCAACCACATCAACTGATTAGGTTTCACCACTTCATCTATTGATCTGCCATCCTTACCTAGTACTCGTTTCCTAACGACAGCATTGCTTACTCGGTTGTCCCACAATATACGAGTAATGCTTCTAAGAAATCTATGATCGAATACTAGCAACCTACAAACATCTTCTACTCTTAACGGCCATGATTCACAGCCATATAGGAGAACGGAACGAACTGCTGCGCTGTAGATTCGTCCTTTGATTAGCGGACCGATATCTCGCTTACGCCAAAAGTGACGCAGGTTGGAAAAAGCCAGTTGAGCTTTCTGTATCTGAGCTGAGATTTCGTCAGTCACCAGGCTATCAGCGCTGATGAGACTCCTCAGATAAGTGAAGTGATCAACACGCTCGACTACTTCATTCTCTATCGATAGTTCAGGTGCCGATGCAACCCAATCTTGAAGCAACATTTTGCATTTAAAGTAGGAGAACCGTATTCCGAACATGCTTGCATTGTTGCTTATGGTAGTTAGAAGACTCTGAATTTTCTCAGCGTCTTCACCGAATAGAACTATGTCATCGGCATATTCTAGATCAGTAAGCGATTTTCCTGATAGAAGGTCAACCCCTGAAAAATCTGACGAGCTTAATGTTAACTCTAAGAGGATGTCTACGACAAAGTTAAACAAGAATGGAGAAAGTGGACATCCCTGACGGACACCACTTGAAGTAGAGAATTCCGGTAGCAGATGGCCATAAGCTCTCACTCGACCAGTAGTGTTCGAGTAGAGAGCTTGTATAAGGTTAATGTACTTCTTTGGTACACCTATCAATGACAGACACTGCCACAGAACCTCACGATCTATTGAGTCAAATGCCGCTTTTAGGTCCAGGAACACGACTATTGTCGGACGTCTAAATGTGTGTCTGTGTTCCAGGACCTGTAGTAGTATGAAGATGTGGTCTATAAGTAATTGAATAACCTGAATATAGAAGATGCTAATTCAGTGTAATTTTGAAATAAAGAAATAAGTGAATTTCAAATAAAAAAATGAGAAAATTCCCACCTTTTTTGTAATATGGTTCTTTTTAAGGAGAAAAAATTATATCAATACTTGCATTCATTTATCAAGGCACGTATTTTTAATTACAATTAATTCGGGTACATAAATACACTTTTTCATAGTTGTGTGAAATTATCAATCCGGTTAATTTTTTGTTCATGAACATGTACAGTGATAAATTATACCCAAAAGAAAGAGATTAGTATGGGATAACTTTTCCTTAGTGAATCTTTCAAATTTCAAATTACGTCACAATCACATTATACACATGAATTAAATAAATCTCGTATATTTGTTAAAGAATTTGTTGAATAATCCAACTGATGCATATATTCATTATGTTGATTATTTTTCACATTAGTAATATTGAACAATGGACAATTATTTTTTGTATAATACGATGAATCACTACTACTAATAACAGAATGAGTACTATGCGTTGGATCAGTTGTACAGATAGTCATGATGGTACAATCGTTCAAAGCACTTTTCATAGCGACAGTTGTGGAACGAGGTGTAACTTCAAGGACAGGTGTTGGACTATTTCTAAAATTGATTAATTGACACTGTGAACAAATCTCTGATTCATAATTACTCATATAATCACAGCATAGAATGTTTGATGTTTCGTCGGAGGTCTCATGAATGTTATTGTTTCGTTCTTGATTATCCGCATCACTTGTATTCATACCAATAGAAGCAACATGTTTACCGGTGATATTTCGATCTTCCGTCATGAAAGATAATCCTTGGTTTGAAAATTTTGGTGAAGTAGGTGGCTTGTTAGCATTTGCCAAGGTACAGTTACATTGTTTCTCCATTGAAAACATCTTGTAACCTTCATTGTTCTCGTTCAGTGGTAATGGTTTCATATGACAATTTGATTGTATGAGTCTCCTTGTACACGGAGGTGTTAAAAATCGATGCGGTAATGGTGGAGGGAGAGGCAACTGGTTTTTTTTATGAAGAAAATTTCGTCTACCATAGGGAGATAATTGAGGATTAATAGTTTGATTGGTTTGTGAAATATTTGGTTTGTCATTTAAGCGTAGATCGTCTATGTCAGCAATAGTACAAACTGAAATATTTGGATGTGATTTAAATTGACAAAGATGTTGATGACCGCAGAGTTCATAAGTTCCAGATGTAGATTTTAATATAAAACTATCCATAAAATGTTTATTATTATTATTAGTATTATTATTACTAGTATTAATATGATCTAATGTTCTTTTTAAAGGGTAATTATCAAAACATGGCATAGGTGGAATAAAACTGACAGTTTTAGGCATTTGTATTGGAGAATTCGATTTGTCTTGAAGATCTATGCATAGAAAAAAGGGGAAAGGTTTTCGTTTAGAACTAGAAATTTTTAACATTACTTAATGATATTATCTCGAATGGTAATGATATCCTGATCCCGTGACCTAATATGGTAAAGCCTATTAGTCATGGCTTCGCATTAGAACTTCTTGAATTTATTCATGAGGCTCGTCACAGGTGAGCACATGATAATTGTCATTATAAAGTTATGGAGATCGTTGACCACTGAAGTTTAACACTGTCACGTGCGAGACAGTCACCTACGGAACGCAATGGATAAGGTCGAGGAATATCATGAATTCATTACAGTTGGACACTGACATCATCGGATACCGGTCCAGTGTAGTCTAAAGGTTAAGCATTCGTGAGCGAGACCAGAGGTCCCAGGTTACATTCTTGCTTGTGGGGGGGGGGTGAACATTCACTTACTAATGAGTTCCAAACTGGGACGAAACGGTTATCCAGTGCTTCCAAGTTTCTAATGGTGGTCTAACATTGATTGATTCAACAATCTCCAAAACCCTATACTCACTAATTTATTCTAGAAGAATTTGGGAGAGTTTTATTAGAGTTCTAAATAAACTCCTATGTTTACTCTATTGCATTTTCGTTGTTCGGGTTTATTTAAATATGAATTATTTTTCTATTGATATTTTGTTCTGTTTAAGTGAGTATAAAGTGAAGTGTCGCCGTAAGGATACTAAGATATCCTAACGGTAGTTACGGAGATGAGATTGTCATGAGAATATACAAACATTTAGAAGCAATTTTAAAATTAGTAAAATAATATTATTCAGGAGGAATGGTAATGAGATGAAAAAAAAACTAGCAGGTAGAGAAAATCAGAGTAAATATTCATATTCTTAATGAATTAAGTTATAGTCATCAATCATTCAGTTTATATATTGTTTTACTCTTAAGTTATCTTCTTCAAATATGATTAGAATACAGAGATTCTTCACCTCATCTGTGGCATATTACTGAATATCATTATAGCCAATAAGAATTTTGGTTAGATAATCATCTGGATTTGATATTTCTAATGAACTGATAATTAACTACAAATCACTCAACACTTGTATGCCTAAAAGCTCAACTATAGCTGCTACTTGACGCCGTACCCGGCTTGTCTGTCGTGATGATGCAATCGAATTAGAATGGCTCAACATTCGTCCTTGTAGGTTCTATAATCCAGGCACACAAGGTTGAAGAGACGTAATAATGAAGTTAGCAACTGAATGCCCTCCTACCGATTATACAAAGATGTGATGGTGGAAAGGTGCTGGTTTTAAATAATTAGCACCTGAAATGGCAGTGCCTTCTCACTTTGAAAGGAAGGGTTTAGAAGAGTTAAGCCCTGGACACCTCACATTGACCAGCAGATTTCCACCATCTGTGTTAAAGCTTTCTCAGTACAGAGCTAACATATCTCTAACTTCTCACGAAAGACCATATATGACTGGCTTGAAGTTGAAGTCTGCTGCTCTTTCTTGTGACGCTGCCAGGCTACAAAGAACATGATTAATCCTGTTAGCTTGCAGGTACTTCCAGAAGAATTATCTTCCCATAGTACCGGCTCCTAGCGAAGGGATAATTACTCCTCACATACCACTCAAATACCACTAAAAAATCATAAACTATACTAACAGGGAAAACTCACGTTGTGTTTTTTGTGCACTATGAGACAGAGCATTATTATTATTACAATTATTCAATAAGGATCTAGATGGTGGTCTACATAGAGGAGGTTTCTCATAGCCACATTTATTTATCTGTGAAAGATGAAAAAAAGGAGAGAGAGAAAATAAAATATTCTAGCAATAAGCAAACGAACGAAATAAATGAAGATTTAGAAAAATTAAATGATATCTAAGGGTGTATGAATGAAAAAAATATTCTTTTAAATAGTAACCAATTGAAATCAATGACCTTAAAAGAATTGTCAAACCGAAAACAAATACGTGATACGGAAATCAGTGTATGTGAATTCCTAGTAGCTTATAAAATAAATATAATCACATTACTGTCAATAGTGATAGTAATGATTAAAGTAATAATGATAATCTGATTACGCACCACACCAAATGTCTAGTCTTAGACCTAACGGTGTAAAGCACAGAAGGATCTGTTATTAAACAAGTATACTTTATATCCCAAAAGATTTGTAACTTTCGACCTAGGTGTTTACCCAATTTGTTGAATTTTGTGGTATACAGACCGCTAACCAGCATTCTTCGGCCTACTCTTTCCTGGTCTCCAGTTCTACCGAGTCACCATTCATTCTTTTCATCTCTATTTCCAATGCTTGGTGTAATTTGCTCGTTGGTCTTCCTCTTTCCCTTTAATCTTGAGGATTACAAGTTGGGGTTCCATCCTAGTTAACCACGGTATTCTGTACTGACATTGAGATGTTGACGTCTTCATGATCCAGTTGAGCGCCAGAACAATGGGGAAGGGTGAGGGTTAGTCACTTTGTTTGACGCCGGTTTTCACGTTCAACGAGTTTGTGAGCTGTCCTCCATGCATGATCTTGTAGTTTAGTCAGTTATTAGAATCCCATAGGTTGATTCCCTTTCAGGTTCACTGTAGTGTCAAAGAAGCCTCCATGGTGTCATCCTGCCGGTGCTGTTAAATGATTTCTCATAGTATAGGAAGCCGATGTATAAGGGTGTGTTTCATCCAGTTGATTGTTGCATAATAATCCGTAGTGCGGCAGTTTGGTTGGTACATGACCAGCCCTTACAGAATCTAGCCTGCTGAAGTTGGGCGGCTTTTTCTGCTTTCATCGCTAGGTCTTCCACATATTTCCGTTTAACACCGCTGATGCTCCACTTCACTTGCTTGTTTGCTTCAGCATATTCGGTTTGTGCCTTGAATTTCTCTTCTATTTTTTGTCTGTCATCGATCGCTATCATCCTGTTCTTCCCTCATTCAATCTAATCCAGAGTATCTGTAGAAATCCACTCCCTGTGGCCCGAAACCTCATCGTTAAAGGACCGAAGCTTATTGGTGAGAGTGAGTTTGCATTTGTTGAGTATGTCAGTATCTTGTAGAAAGATTGTATTAAACGTCTTAAATGCTGGTTTTCCAGTTGTTCATTGGTTTAATTTTCATTTTGGCCACCATTACGTCTTGCTGAACTTTTAAGTGATGCAAATGTGACTGATATCGTTTTCTTTAGTGTGATCCGGTGAAATCAATGTAACTTTTTGTATGCGTTTGTTTGGGAACATAGTGCCGCTTATAACCTTTTATTTGAAGGCACATAGGTTTGCGAATCTCTCACTGTTTTCGTTCCTTTCTCCCAGTCCATGTCGTTCCACGTCTTCACATCTGCTTTTGTCCATTCCAACCTTGGCATTTAGGTCTCCGAAGAGAATGGTGAAATTGCTTGTTGGCCTCTGGTTGACGATTGACTACAACCTTGCATAGAATCGATCTTTATTGTCTTTATTGTTATTGTTGGTGGGCGCACTGTACTCGATCATATTTATTGTAATCCCCTCTTTGATGATCCCAAGTCCATGAGATTTCCACCCTACAAGTGCTTTTTGGGCTTCTTTTGATAGCATCAGTGAAACCTGTTGTGTATGAGGCATTTTCTTCTTCATGGTCATAGTACAACAGCATCTCTTCTGGAGTTAATCTTTTCTGTATAACCTACATCCAATTCATTTCACTTATTCCAAGCATCATCAGGTTGTATCTTTTCATTTTTACAGCAACTTAAATGATTCTTCCTGTCTGTCACACTATCAAATTATTCTGTTTTCCTACATTAATCGTTGTTCGGGTTTTGAGACGGGTCATTGGTCTAATCACTCCCGAAGAAACTCGGTTTTCCTCATGAGGTCTCAGAACTCTTCTAAATGGAAACCTACCACCTTTTAGGTCAGATTTTAAATGGTTTGTATAACTTTTTCTGGTTAGAGTTTTCTTAAGTTGATTTTCTACGAAATGGGGTCGCTGATTCCATGCCGAACCCACTTTCTTTATCGAGGCTTGGAACCGGCAGTAACGCTAGAGAGTCTCCAGATCGATTTTGAACGGCTTAAACAATCACCTAATTTCCTAAACCGTTAGCTACATTTATTGTCGTTGTTATTTTCATGATATGCATAGAAAGAACTCACAATTGAACATCTTGTATTAACATGGATCATTTGATTGAATGAACGCATAATTTAACGTTTTACAGAAAGTAAAATAATTCTTTGTAGTGTAACGAAGTTGATCTATGAAGATCTCATAATTCAAACACAGGTTGAAAGATTTTCATTATGTGGTTCTGTAGATTAGTGATTTTCATTGAAATCATGAGTCAATTAATGTTATGCACGAGTAGAAACCTGGAAGCTCTGGATAACAGTTTAGTCCTTGTCCACGATTGTTTAAGTATAGCGAGTGGATTGAATGAAGTTAGAAATTAACACCGACGGATACTGGCTCAGTGGTCTAGAGGTTAAGCGTTCGTGAATGATACTGAGAGTCCTAGGTTCTAATTCCGTGAATGAGGTTATGGAAATACACTGCAAATGAGCCCCATACTGGGAAGAAACGACTTTCCAGTTTATCGAGGTTCTTGATGGTGGTCTAACATTGATCGATGCATAATTTCAATGAGATATTTTCCTTCTTTCAAAGTATTATTGTAGTTAACTGGTTATTAATAAAAAAAATACCGGAATAATCACCATGACGTAATCTTGAGACAGTCATCAGTTTATATATATATATATATAGACAAACTTCAAGAGCTCAGCTAGAGTGCAACTTGCTGATCAAAAGAATTTGATCAGCATTAAAGAAAAACTTGACAAAAAAGACATTATTTACTATTCAGTGACCAGTCATAGTAGATATCTTAGTCTTATGGGATCTTACGTTTGAGCTAAAAAGCATTTCAAATTGTGAATCTAGACGATGTAGGTTGGAATCCCACAAGGAGCATTAGATTCCTAAAGATTACAGATACACCTTGCACCAACTAGCATGAAGCTAAGGTTCATAATTTCCCGTCATCTACCTATCATCACTAAACTCTACTTGATTTAACTATAAAGAACTAATTACTCTACTCGTTCACTACCGACAATCCAAGCATTTGAACTGCTTATTCAACTGATCAAATTTAATCAGAAGTAGAAAAAAATCTAATGACTTATTGATACATTTTGAAAATCTGTTTTTGTGAAGCATACATTATTACCTAGACATACCCGTTGATAATCTTGTGTAATGTTGCATTTCTCATTGTTTTCAAATATTTTCTGGCTTCCATTCAATATTCCTTGATCATGATGATCAAGATGTTTTCGTAAAGTGTCACAGTGAGATTGAATATTTAATTTTACTGAAATAGGAGTTACTTGATCGTTTCGTGGTTGGGATATTGTTCGTAATGCTGATGAGTGTTCAGTTTCTTCACAATTCAATATAGAACAACCTGATGTTATCAAACAATTGTTGCCACTATCTCTATTACAACTTGGTTGGCCTTCTCTCCTGAACGATGATGACAAAGTTGGTAATTGTCTTTTCTGTTGTTGTGATGGTGATAATGATAGTGTAGATAACAATGAAGGTGATTGACCGAGTAGACAATGATTATCGAAATTAGAATCATGTAGATGAGAAGTTGGATAAACTGTATTCTGTTGTTTATGATCATTAATATTGTCATCTTTGAATTCTGGTATGTTTACACTATTTGAATCATGGATGCAGTGACGTAATCCGTACGTTGTATATGGACTATAAGAATGCAAATGAATTCGAACATTACCTGAAAGGATAGAAAGAATAAATTAACTGATCAATTTATTAGTTATTTGATGTTCTGTTAACTCTTGTAATTAAAAAAATTTATTGGAAATGTGACATTTATGGAAAAATTGTGATAGACAACAATAGAATTGTTTGACAGCATTGTTAGATATCAATTTATGACAAAAAACAGATATATTGTAGCATCCCGTACAGGATGTACGTACTAACAAAAATTGATCGAAATCCAGTCAAGAATCCCAATGCTTAGGTGATTTAAACTCATTCATGCTATAAGTTAGTAGAGATCCAGTTTCGGTAGCTCAGGGAATGACGGATTGGCATTTGATTTTGAGTCCTTTTGTGAACATTAACAATGAAATACAAGTACAACCGCAAGACGAGTTCCAAAATAAAACGAAACTGACATTAAAAATTCCACCACTAGATAAAATTCATTTGTGTTTGGTTTGTTATTTTCGTACAACAGAAATTGATTCCAGTACGGATGCGAACGATGTAACGAAAGCAGAGGTTTCTATGAACAGGAATTATTATCCTATCTGCTTTATTTAAATATGTTGTAAGAGCTAGTGGTATAAAGGAGTAACGAAGATTGCTATCATGTTTGCCCAGTCGTTTATTCCTAATTGAATTCAACTCTGATCAATTTGTGCGCGTGATCACAAGTTCAAATGATTCAACATTGAGTACATTATGATATGTTCGTTTGTTTAACATAGTCGGTAAGAAACTGTTGGCCTAGGTTTACATGTTTGGAATTCATCAATAGGGTGTAACTGTAGTGTTGGTGGAATTGATGAGTACTTTTCTATTAAAATTATATATTCTAAAAATAAGATAATCGAGGTCACGAGTTCGATTACAGAAATGCATACAATGAATGATAATAATAATAATTTGCAGTTGTGATATTCGAATTCGATACACTTCATCGTCTCATTTAAAATCATAAGCTTATTAACTTATTTGTATTGCATTGAAATCATGCATCGATCATCGTTAGGCCACCATTAGAAAACTGGAAACACTGCAGACCCGTTTCGTCCTGGTATGGGACTCATCAGTAGTCCGCATTCACTGTCCCCGCTTGCTTGAATTGAACCCGAGACTTTTGAAATCGCTCAAGAACGCTTAACCTTAAGACTAATGAAGAGGTATCCAACGGTTTCAATGTTTAACAATAATGATATTGGTTTATTCTTCCATGTTTAGTGGATATATATTTCATGACCACTAAAATTTATACTATGTTAATCTTTAAAATAACCAACTGTAATGATTGTTAAAAATATTATTCTGTTCAAGGGTTAGAATCAACAGTAGTTTGAAAAATGCTAACATACTCACAGATTAAAAATATGTAATCTTCAACTGTGTTTGAATGTAACAAACATTCATTGATTTGTTGAACACTCATTACTTTATTATGCTTTAACACCTAATAATCAAAATGTTTGCAACTCAATCTCATATGATAAGATGATAAACACCTTTTATTAAACAGTTTGGTTTATTACAAAACAGAATCATCATTAAAACGTGTATAGTTTAAAAGTGTTTTTGATGCAAAATAATATAATTAAACTATGCTAACACTGACAAGTGAGGCTAATCGTTTTTTATTTCCCGATGTTCAACAAAAGTTCATTATCTGGCATTTTCGAGCATTTGACCTGTTCATTTCATCGATAAATAATGTATAAAACAGTATATATTTTCCACTGGCAAGATCATTTTAATCATCTAACCATATTAGCTTATTTTCTGTGAACACGTCGCTATAGCGCATCTCATCTCATCGGATGGAAGAAGCAAGCAAATGAGAAGCAACAGTTAGAACCTGAAGTCGTCAATGAAAATTGTACTCTTACATATAGATAGCATTCACTGAGTAAATAAATTAAAAAAGTACTAGATATTCTACACTTAGTGAAAATCGAAAAGCTTTTCGTTTCTAAATTCATGTACTTTATCCTACACTAAGAAAACGATTTTATTCAAGAGAGCAGCTTCTCAAATCTTGCAGGAAATTCAAAACATAATAATAACAGACAGTTTAAATTTTGTCAGGAAGTAAATAAAATTAGTGGTGGTTGTTTGGAAAGCGTGAAACTTGTTATGTTCGTCACTTGGTACGCTTGAAGCTATTACGAGTTCACCTTAGTCGATAAACGCGGACGAGACAATGAACCAGCGTCCAAATAGGCTACCTAGATCCCCAAACTGCAAAACAGAAGTCTTGATAAGCGTAGAAAGTATATACTACAACACCCAGCAAGCACAATGCATTCAAGCAAACAACTCTCGTTTATTTTTACATCATAGAAACGTCCTTGGAACAGTCACAACAACAGCACACCAAAATACACAACAGTCACTCACAGCAATGGATTTTCATGGTGGGAAATGAAATCTCAAGGTCAACTGATCAGCAGGTAAGTCATTAACTGGTCAAAATGTGTATCCTGGATTTCACTGTTATCCAACATTCATCTCTGTTGATAAAGCTTGTGACTAAACGGCAATATCAAGGTAATCCCCTCATATATGCCAAAATAGGTTGATTGATTGCTATCCCGAAACATCAGTGGGAAAGTTAAAATAACCAAATACTTATAAACTGATATTAATAAGTCGAAGTTGTTCACACAATTACTTACTTCTATTCATAGACTATTTCAGCATTACTTTGAATGATAATTGCATAGGAAAACATTTTTTTTAAAGGTTTAATTTACCCTTTCAAATTTCTTAATATTTATGTACTTCATATTTATAATCTTTTACATTCAGTTCATGATTTGAACAATTTCCAAAACTTCTTTACTAATATGAAATTACATTATTGAAACCATGAATCGATCAATGTTAGACCACCATTAGAAACCTGGAAGCACTGGACGGCCGTTTCATCCTGGTATGGGACTCATCATCCGTGAATTTGATCAAGTTAGACATTAACACCGTTAGATACCGGCTCAGTGGTGTAACGGTTAGAGCGTTCACATACAATACCGAAGGTCCTGGGTTCGAATCCTGTGGGGTGCAGGAGTCGTGGATGCGCACTGCTGTTTCTTCCATACCAGGACGAAACGGCCGTCCAGTGCTTCCAGGTTTCTAATGGTGGTCTAACATTGATCGATTCATGGTTTCAATAATGTAACTTAATAATCTTCACAACAACCCCGCAATGTAACATGAAATTGAATTGAAATTGTAATCAGTCACCTTGAAAACAAATTAAATTATCAATGTAGACACTGGTACAAGTTTTGCTTAGGATATTGTGAATATACACTAACTAGTTTGTTGCAAAATATGAACTTTAAAAATGCAAAGAACCTCATCAATATTACACATGGGTAATATGTCAGTATTAGAAATCTGCAAATTATTTCATGTGTATCTTCTCTCGAAAACGAAATGAAAATGTTGTCTTCACATGTTACAATCACACACACACACACACAAGAAACATTAAATTGAGGTAAAATAAACGAAAACTCTATGTTGTTTCGTCAATTTTTTTTAGGTTGTTACATCAATAGTTCTTGGTGTTGTTTGTTAATTTTATGTGAAGAATGTAACAACAACTACGCACGCACACACACACATACGCACGAATATTTAGTCATAGTCAATGAATGAAAATCGACATCACCTAACCAGCAACAACAATAATTCTCCGTACAATGGATAGCCAGTTTGCATGAAAATGTCAGTATCAAAAGCGTCTGTCTAACTAACTTAAACACCTGTAGTAACAATAATAATAATAATCATATGAAAATATCTAATTCAATAACCACCACATGTTCTACCAAAACTAATGAGAAATTTCAACAACAACAATAGACATTCTAGAGTAGAGAAGAATAAAATCAAAACTGAACACACATATTTTTGGCAGAAATTGGTGTAACAGTGAAAAAAACAATTATTTACAATTAATATGAAGCTAATATTGTGCACACATACACACACAACCACATGTGCGTGTCTCGTTGTGTATGTATCGGTTGCAGACAAATATGAAATTGATTGAAAATTATTCATCTCTTGAAATTAAGATGATTTCAAATGAAGAGAAAAACACAATGATTTTTGGGAAGAAGTTATAGCTTGAACTCGAGTTACTACTACTACTACTACTACTACTACTACTACTACTACTATTTTGTAGGTGAATATTTTAAGATGAAATTCTTGAGAATTTTTTTCTATCTCAACTTGCAGAAGAATGAATGAATGTAAAGTCAGTTAGTTGTCTTATGTTTAACCGGTCATGATGAGACCTGAAAGTCTCAGGCTCGATTTTTTATATGGTTGTTGATATACACTATGGAAGAATTGTACACTTGGAAAAAACTAAATGTTCAATGTTTCTAGATTTTCTGTGATTGTTTAACTAAAGTCAGTAGACAGTGTAGATAGATGCACAGTAATCGGTCTTTCTTATTTTATTGTATTTATAAAAGTTTTTACTATTTTTGTAAACAGATACATAATTATTTAAAAATTAACTGTTTCGAAAAAATGAAATTCATTCGAAACAAACAGATACTACCTATTGGTTAGTTGTTCTAGATATTTACAGACTTCAGATAACAGATATTCACTGAATGTAAGTCTCTATAGATTAATAGAAAAAAGACCGTTTAGTGTGTTTCGAATTCGCTCAAGTATATATATATATAGCCATCATATAAGATGGTCAACTAGTGTAACTCTGTTTTCACATTGATTTTTGATGAGGATTGCTGAAATCGCTGTTGTTTCTACCCTAGATAAATTATGTCTACCAGGTTAATACCAATTAACATACAATGTTCGACAAAGTCTGTTGAATTATTATTTTAAAAGTGATCAGAGGTGTACAACCATGAAATACCAGTAAGTCTCGTAGTTTGCGTCACTAACTGATTCAAGGTAGCCAATTATTATTTGGAGTCAGAAGTTCATAGACATCTGTTTCGCTCTAGTATCGAACTCCTTAGTCATGCGCATTCAGAACTTTAATGCGAGATATTTAAACCTCATTGTGAGAAATTAATCTTCAGTATTCGTGGTTAACCAACAAGCCTGCTGCACAAGCACGCCGCTGCCTTTTAGGCAATACAAGGATTCGTACAAACGCCAATTTTGCTATAACCCCTGCCCCATAGGGGAACGCACAAATTATCTAGATTGGTCTGCAGACACACTCACGCATACGAGCAGTGGCCCCCGTTCGAGCACTTATGAACCAAATCGATCCCTCTAACCAATCCACTACCCACTATCCTGAATCAGCAAGAGCGGCAAGGCGTGCTTTCCCAGCTAGACCTGGCACCCCGAACGAATTACCGAGCCACCCATCAGCCGTTCCAACCGTCTGGCCTCCAACTGCCTTGCGCTGATACAATCAATCGGAGCTCTCAAATTCCACATGAAGCTAAAGATCGAGTTTGTCCCACAAGGTCAGATGGAATGTAAACTCTGCCATGGGGTAGATGTCATGAACTCGACCAAGCGCAATCACTCAGCCAAGCAGGATTAATCCAACTACATAAGTGGGCAGACGTCATCGGTGGCCTCGATGCCAGTTTACACACTACATCGAGATGCAGAGTGTTTGGGACAACCACATAGGGTCGGCGCCAATAGTCCAGGATCTTTACGGCTGCTTCCCCAAAAAAATCGTCTAATGCCGCCTTCAAGCAACCTGGAAAGCTATATTCCTTTCAAGGTATTTCAATTTACCTACGTTCAATGGACGGGATTCAGACTTAGAGGCGTTCAGTCCTAATCTCTCAGAGTGGCAAACCGCATCCACGGCCTTGCAACCATGAACACGTACCATTATTCGGGATCATGCTAGGCACGGTATCTTAAGCGTTCTGAACGGCCTTTGGCCACAGCACTGTAAACAACGCCACGTTGCCTGGCGGGACCAAGAAGAGGTAGCCGCCACCACAACCCCCAAAAGGTTCCGTGTATGCACGTCACCTAATATACCTATTCAATTAGATGACGAGGCATTTGGCTACCTAAAGAGAGTCATAGTTACTCTCGATATTTTGTGGTGTACACCTCTAATCTTATTTAGAACTGGTTATTATTTGGATATGTCTGCATGTACACCAAAAGAGGCTGATCAGTTGTCGTCCTGAATGCCGAGTAGAAGATTTAAGCTACTAATCCGAATGAATTATATTTGTAGATTGTTTATAGACTAATAACTTCGTTATATTTTCTACAGTTGTGTTAGTAGTCACATACTTGTTAAGTCATGTAAATATAATTAAAGGAAGTTCTAGTTTCATCATTGAAACTATGTAAATGTTTAGGGTTATTCGTGCTCGTAAGTTTCTGCTCTGACATAATAATATGGGTTTACATAGAAAGTCGTTAACGTGAATGTAAGCGTTTGTTGTTGATCCCTTTCTAACAGAATACGTGTATCCTCGGCGGACTCAGGAATATCATCATTTAATCTTAACCTGTTTGGTTAAATTTGTATAGTTGTTAGCCGAGAATTCCACAAACGCATTTCTTCTAACAAGTTGAATGTACTAACTAACATGTGTGATATTTCAATTGGCCTTAAATGAATGAATATTTATTTGACATTTAGAATATAAATGTTGTGACATCAAAATAGTTCATTATTTGATCATAAATAATGATAAAATTCCTTAGTAAAACTGTAATTTTACACTATAATTCACAGTAATTTAAAAACGTTTAAATTTGATTTCTTTTTTCCAAAATAACCGATTCATTATTCTTTGAAATATCTGCATTACGGGGTTGTGAAGATTGTTAGGTTACACATTTTTTGAAACCATGAATCGATCAATGTTAGGCCACCATTAGAAACCTGGAAGCACTGAAAGACGGCCGTTTCGTCCTGGTATGGGACTCCTCAGCAGTGCGCATCCACGACTCATGCACCCCACAGGATTCGAACCCAGGACCTTCGGTGTAACTTAATAATCTTCACAACCCCATGATGCAAAACCTGTGCTCACTAGTGACTAGCTTCGTGAGGAATCTTCTCCGAGTTCTAGTGGGAAGACGTGACCAGTGTAGACAGTAACTACCGAAGACTGTGTATGAGGTTACGCAACTCCATGAATTGATCAAGTTAGACATTAACACTGTTAGATAACGGCTCAGTAGTCCAGTGGTTAGGCATCCGCGCACAATACCGAAGGTCCTGGGTTCGAATCCTGCGATTGGCAGGAGTCGTGGATGCGCACTGCGGATGAGTCCCATACCAGGACGAAACGGCTGTCCAGTACTTCCAGGTTTTTATTGGTGGTCTAACATTGATCGATTCATGGTTTCAGAAATGTTTAAAATATCTCACAACTCATTCATTTATTGAATTTAAATGTTTCAACAAAAACAGATATTTGTATAATTTAGACACACAAAAAAAAAAGCCATAGAAAAACAATGTTAACTTAAGTTGAAAAAGTGTCTACAGAGATTGGCATTTAAATTTATAAGTTGTAAACGTTGAAATTATGTACTAGTGAACTGTTCACTGCCACGACTGAACTGATGTCCAGTGCCTTTTTCTTCTCCACTGAGATCAATCTGTGATGAAATGTTAATAGAGATTTCTTATTAGTATGAGGATTGAAAATTGTCGGCACATACAAGTTGAGAGTACCATACTGAAAGATTAAACAACTTTATGGTACTTTATAGTTTCTAGTGGTTGTCTAACTAGGATCAGCTTCTCATGTAAACTATAAAATATGAATGTACATTGACAGTTTAATCGGAATTCAGATATGAGATATGTAACAGTAACTTTATCAAAATATCACAATTCTTTAAGTGATTTGATTAAAATTTGAGGAAAACAGTGTACTACAATCGATTGGTCGATTTAAAAAAATTCAAAACTTATCCTGATTAAATCGCTGAAATACTTAATGTAAGTGGTTTTTGTGTTTTTAAGTTAAAACAATGAACATTTACAACTTTGTGCCATAGAGAAAACCAGTAAAGCATTTCATTAACTAATAAAAATTCATTGAATATAAAAAATCAGATATTTTTCATCTCAGTATGTTAAGATAAGTCTGTTTACTAATAAATTAAACTTAACTAATTATTTTCAGGACACCAACTGGTTAAAAGAAACAGTTTCATACATTTAAACAATGCTAAAACGAGAAGAAGTTTCAAAATGTAATGAATTCATGTTGCCTTTGGTTGGTTCAACTCGGTTTGATTATTTTAAACTATTACTAACATGATCCATTCATGAGGGTTCAAATCTTCTCAGTTTTGTCGATAAGAACTGAAATCGATCAGTTAATTTTGGTCTATGTACATCTCGATGTTGTAATTACGTAAGAAAGATTGTTGAACAAAGTTGGATGCAAGGCAAGTAGTGGTTAACTGATCTCAGTAGCTAAGTGAATGATTTAATGGTCGTTTGAAGTGTAAGTCACTTGGTTTGAGTTGCACTACATGTACTGAGATGCAGATACATCCAGTTGACGAGTCCAAAATAAAAATTAAACATCCTTTCTTGGCTTTATTGCTAGTCTTTATCAACTAGCACTCAAAAGTATTTTAACTGTAGTTCGGAATTTGGAAAATAACTAATCAAATGACCGAAAAGCTTAAACTCTTAGAAATTATTAATAACTTAAAATGTCTAAACTTATTAGCTTTTTAATGTAGTCAGAAAATTGAACAGACAAAATAAAACATGACATCATGGTCATCATATTAGAAAGTAATCTAGTTTTAACTTTATGTTGCCTGATGAAAGTGTTTGTTTGTTCGCTGAACAGAAAGTTCCAATTCATATTTATTGATAGACTAAAGGTGTTTTCAATAATTTTGAAAATGTTTTATTAATTATCTATAATGTTTATTTTATGATCGAACAAAATATCTATATATACCTTGTTCACTATGAGGAGGATGTTGATGATCAACATTAGCATCAACAACTTCTTCTTCATTAATCGATTTCGGCTTCAACATCGAAGTCGGATAATGTTCACTTGTTTTCGTTGAATAATCATTATTATTATTATTGTTAACAGTAGCAGTAGCAGCGGGGGGAAATAACATTTTACTTAATTCTTTTTGTTTACAATCCATACAAATTAAATGTTCATTTGTTGTATGATTAGCGCCATATTGAATTTTATGAATGTTCTCTTTTAATTGTAAGTTTTTTAATGCAAATAATAATTTTCGACGTTTTGATTTACTATATAATATTAATATAGTTGATATAATTAATAAACCAATCAGAAAAATAGTTGAACTGCCAAGTGTAATGATAAGAATAATTTTTGTTGTAAATGTACTTGTATTATCATTATTGTGATTGCTACTAGTACTAATCAACAAATTTGAATCGGATAGACTAGTGGGATTCAATGTCCATTTCTGTTTCAATTGGTGATTTTGTTCTTGTGAAATTATTGATGATGATGATGATGATTTAACTTTAATTGGTATATCATCTAATTGAATAATTAAATGTTCCATTGGTGAAGATCTTTGAATTTTACTTGTCAGTGAACCTTGATCATTGATCGATATAATTAAAGTGATATTCTTGCCACAATATTCAACTAATCGATCAGTATGAACAAATAATTCACCGGAAATATTATTTAAATAAAACAGCGATTGTGTTTTCAATGATGGCATAATTAAACTATAAATAATTGTTCCATTCAAGCCTTGATCCGGATCATATGCTTGTATTTGACCAATTGAACTGCCTATCATTTCACGACATGATGTAATGAGTCGATTACCAGAGGATGTGGTCGCATTTGGAAAGATAAATATTGGCAAATTATCATTTGTGTCAGTGACATGAATAAATATTTCCGTTTGACTTGTTAAATATGCATTGAATTGTGGTGTATTGTTAAAATGTGCTAAATTGCGATGTACATCTTGTACTTGTACATAGAAATGATAATCTGTGCATTGTTCTCTATCTAAACTATGCAATAAGTATAATGCATTGTCTTTTAAAGTGAAATGTTTCCTGACTAAATTGTCATGTGCCTTCAAGTCTATTGATTTATTATTATATTGTGATTGAGTGGAATTTTCATTTTGATATTGTTGCATCAGCATTGCATTGTTTTGTTCTGGCGGTTTATTCGAATCAATCCAAATGTTGAATTTAAAGCCTTGATTATTTGAATCTAAATCGTATACACTGAATAAAATAATTGGTTCATCATACTGTTTATTCTCTTCTAAACTAATCACATAAGTATCATGTTTAAAACTTGGTGCATTGTCATTTGTATCGTCTAAATCTACAATGACTTTTGCACATGCTGAATACAATCTATCATTAACACATACATAAAATTCCAAGGATGATTTCTTTTCACGATCTAATTCACCTTGAGTAAATATTTGACCATTGATAGGATCAATAGAAAATAATTGATAATCTAATAAAGGATTTCTGAAATTAACATTATTATTATTATTATTATTGTCTGATTGATTGTTCAATGGTTGGAGTTCACTCGGCTCTAATCGATAAGTGAGAGTACTGTTCAAGTCAGGATCTGTAGCTGAAATAAATGTTGGATATGCATTACTAACCGGTTGAATCGGTGTTCCTGGATTACTGTTTTCCAATACATGAAAATGATATACATTCAATGGAAAACTAGGCGGTGAGTCATTTGTATCGATTAAATGAATAATTAACGATTTTGTATTGTATAACATTGGTTCACCCATATCATGACATTGTATCATGACAGTATATTGATCTATGCTTTCACGATCCAGCAAACTTTGTGTTTCAATTCGATACAAATCAGACAATTTATGTATGCTGAATATTTCTGTTGAATTTAATAATTGACATGATATACGACCATTTTGGCCAGTATCATGATCAATCACATTGAAATATACAATTGGTGTACCAATGGGTATGTTTTCTTTAATCCATATTTCATGTGATTTACTGGTTATATTCAATGTTTTACTTGAAGTTGCTATTTTATTCTGTTTATTCGCTGTGATATAATCATTGTCAAATAATATAACTGGTGGATTGTCATTTACATCAAGAACTATAATGTCAACTAATGCTGTAGCGGAGTGAATAATCTGTGATGATTTCTTGATAGTTGATTTTGTTGAAATGAATGATTTCAAGGTCTCTTTCTCATTTTTTATACCATCTGTGGCTATGATAGTTAATCGATAGTTTTTAACGCTTTCATAGTCTAATGAATGTTTTAAAGTTAAAATGCCAGATTGAGAATCTAAGTGAAAAACATTTGTCGCATCCCAATTCATTTGATTTGAACTGAAATGATAAGTAATTTGATTGGTTGATTCATTGGATAACATTGATAAGTCACGATCAATGGCTTTCAATTGTCCAATACGACTACCTATATCTAAAGATTCTTTTAATCTATATTGCTTTTTAAAAACTTCTTGAGTAGTATGCGATAAAAGCAGATGAGAATTTTCCATTTTACTGTCATGGTCGGCATCAATAAACATGGGTGGGAATTCATTGACATCATCTACTTCAATAATTAATTGAATTGAACCGCGTAAATCACCACCATCTTGAGCTATTAAACGTAGTTTATAAATTGACTGTTCTTCACGATCTAATTCATGATCAAGTTGAATAATTAAATTTCCAACAGATTTTTCATAGATCAATCGAAATGGGCCAAGTTTAGACCAAATTTGACCATTTGTATATGTCATTGTAGATTTAGATGAAAACGTTGAAAATTTACTAACTGACGATTGATGTAAATTGTCAGTTGCTCTATAATTCGAATTGTCCCATTCAATCCAATAGTTTTTAACACGATTTGTCGGTGAAAAATCTGCATCAAATGCTCTTGGTAATTCATGTTTCATGTTCACACCTAAGGAACCTTCGAAATAGGATAGATATATGGATTCCGATCGATAATTAGTTTGATAATCCAAAAACTTATTAAACTGTGGATAGTTATCATTCAAATCGATAATGTTTACATGTAGTTTCGCGATTGGGGATATTTGCATGACATTATCTATTGAAGCTAATATGAAAGCGGTTAATTTACACTGATATGTATGTTGTGAAACTTCATTTTCCCTCATATAATCAAGGTTATTAGACAAATCTTCTGGATAATAATAGTTCAGCTCATTTTCAGTATATTGATTATTATGTAACAACTCATTGGGCGCCTGTTCATGCTGATAATCAGGGCAGCAGGAATTTTCTGCACTGCATAAATTACTTGTTTCTAAATCAACTGAAGATATACTATGTACATTGCCAGTTATATTATCTAAACGAAAGTATTGTGTCAATGAACCAGGACCTAATTTTATATAACTTGATTTTGGTACACCAAGTAAATTGCGTAAGTCGGATATAATCACTGTACCAATTGTTAGATTTTCATAAACTTGTATTTCTGGCAAATTTGTGAAATATGCAAAGCATGTACAAAATGTAAGAATATGAATAATCCAATATGATAAGTATAATGTGTAGAAAATAATTTGTTTATACCTAAAATAAATCAGATTCATTATGATTTTGAATGAATCATATCTAATAATATGAGTAATTCCTTTTTTTTTTTAGCTCAGAAGCGATGATAAATGCACTGAAAATAATATGTATATATTTAAATATCAACAAATTGTTCATTTTGTAGAAATCTCAATTATATTTGTTAATCATTGTAGATCTATGCTTTATTGGTCACATTTATACAAACCCAAATGTGAATAATCAAGTTATGCATAATTACAGTCTCATGAATGTAAACACTGATCAAATTTTACGTCTACAAGCATTAACCAATCAATGAATGTTTGATGGGACTGACCAATCATAATTTTCTGATCATTGCCTTTTAGGTTAGCCAATCATAAACTTGTAGAATCGAATCAAATAATGGCCAATGTGTTTGGGTAGTGCATTGTAGATAAATGACTGATAATATAAGATTACTTTGTAAAAAATTATGATAATAATATCTTGAACTTTTTTTTAGCAGTTTCAAATAGCATCAGTGATATATCATTTTGGTTAGCTTTTTTAATTTGAATGATGTCTAGAAGCCTAATCAGTTGAATTATACGCTTGATAAGTTGCTTCTCATTTACATACCCATGAATTGATATAACCCATCTTAGTTGTATTAAAGAAATAAACAATCCCATTCCCATTCAAAAGTAAGTTGAAAAACATTCAAATCAAATGGTAAAGAAAACGCAAAAATATTAAAGTTGAAAAACTGATGAGTTGTATTGAGATGAAGATCTTTACAGCTAATGAAAATATTAAGTCAATATCATCAGTTGAAGTTGATAAGATGTACAGTGTGGAATCATACGTGATATTAATGTTTATGACTCAAAAATGCACTAAACATGTGAACACAGCACTAGAAAAAGTAGAATGATGTAATAGAAAGAGAAATGAAAAAAAGCAAAAAACAATATTTAAAAACAACACTTTATGAAAAATCTAAAATGAATACATCACCACCACTTAAACCAACTTCAGATACGTCACCAAATATCTAGAACATTTGGCCTAGGTCATCCATTGTGAGGACTCCAATTAGGTGCCTTCCGCCGATTAGCATTATACAGATCAATAATCATTCACTTCATGGATTGATTACTTACCTACTTACTTTCGCCTGTTACCCCCAATGGAGCATAGGCAGCCCACCAGTTTTCTCCAACCAACTCTGTCCTGGGCTTCCCTTTCTAGTTCTTTCCAGTTTTTGTTCACTCTTCTCATGTCTTTCTCTATTTCTTGGCGTAATGTGTTCCTTGGCCTTCCTCTTTTTCTTTTACTTTGAGGGTTCCATGTGAGGGCTTGTCCTGAGACGCAGTTAGGTGCTTTTCGTAATGTGTGACCTATCCACTTCCACCGCTTTTTCCTGATTTCCTCCTCAACTGGAATCTGGTTTGTTCTCTGCTACAGTAGGTTGTTGCTGATCGTGTCTGGCCAACGAATCCGAAGTATTTTGCGAAGACAACTGTTCATAAATACTTGTATCTTCTGGACGATGGCTTTCGTAGTTCTTTCATGGATTGATCCCATGCATTTATTTGGTTGGCACTGGCTATGCCATTAGTAGGTATGCATAAAATCTGGCCCCGATACTTTAATTGGTGATGATTCGTAGCCTTATCAACTAGTCTGTCATCGTTCACTTGTGTATCCTACTGCTTATCGCTTGTCACAGCATTTTGAGTGTTCCTCTTATCAAATACTTGGTACTTAAACATGCTTCCTATTGCCACCTATCATTTTCGGCCACAAATTATCATACAGAAAAGATTTTGACCAGTAAATTTGACCATTTTTGGTAGATGGACATCTTGTTACAGAATGAGCATTTAATGAAACACCCAATGCCATAGCTGATGAGAATTTCAAATTAGTTAGTGGTACTGTATCTGATTCGATCAAGTTCACGTAAAAAAACATTTGTATTATTTTTCAAGACGAACTATATCAATGTCCTCAAGATTGATTTCTGAAAAGTGTTATTTTTAGCGAAAATTGATAAACGATTGCATCTAATGGCAACTTTTCACAAACTCCCTCCTCAGATAAAAGAATATGATGATGTTCAAACACATTAATGGATGTGACCAGTTCTGAAAACTTGGCACAGTGTGACTATTTGATTTACGAATGTATGAGTAAATTTCTTCAACGTTTAGTGTGAAACAGCTTCTATACAATTTACAAGAATATGAATTTCAACAATTGATTTTCAGTGTATAGATGGGAATGAACTGATTTATTCATGAGTTAATTGGTCTGGTATTGTCTGACAACGAGTGCCATACTACCTTTAAAATATATAACTTTACACATAGATAAATATTTTGTCGATGGTATTCATGAAATCTGCGCTTAACCAAAAATGATTGTTTGAATAAGTTTGAATTTTCTTAAGATACGAAAAATACTACAGAACTTTCTTGTTACTAATTTAAGGTCCGTCGAGATTATTGTATTCTGTAGTTTAAAAAAGGTTACCACCTTAGTTAAACAACCGTTAGAAAACTAGGATTATTGGATAAATGGTTCCTCCTAGGAATGGACTATTCATGACCCTATCAAACAATGGGCCTTCAGACCTAACAACATCAGCTTAACATTTAGACCACCGGGTTTGCATTTTTAGTTTCCATCAGTCTATGGTATCTCATAACGATTTTCTTGTATCACCGGTGGATGACTGATACACATTGGATAACATTAAAGCTTTGTTGGTTACAGCTGCCCAGGTAAACTTCATACGGTTATTATTTCTATAGGTAAATTTCTTAAGATTACTGTTTCTCAGTGTTTATCAAGAAACGATTGTCCACTGCTTGTCAGATTTTAATGGTTGTGAAGTTATACCTAATATCATTTTCTTTAATTAAAATCTTTTCAATGTTTCTTTTCTTATTTTAGCATGATTAATTATTAAATTGTCACACATTTCAATCAGTTTAATCATAAATGAAATGAAACTATTTATCTTCATTATTTATTATTATGATTGTTTATTTGACTTATCACTGTAAAAAAAACAATTTCATGTGCTAACAATTTTAGGAAAATTATTCATTTCACAAACCGGTTGGAAGAAAGTTAGGGGCGGCCAGACCAAAACATGGCACAAATCCATGAAATCACTGACAAGTGGACTGAGTCATATTGGTAGATGTAGACTATCTGGTTGGGGTCGGCGAGACGAGAGACACCAATGGAGAGAGACGTTGAACGACATGGCTCAAAATCGTTTGCAATGGCGCAGGTGCATCAACTCTTTGAGTGATTTTTAATTCTAACCTTCTGAAGTCCTCATCATCTCTATCTTTCTCCTTCTGAATTTATTTCACTGAATTTCATATCTTCGCGCCTTAATCTTCTCCATTGCTGCTAATAATTCAACTGTCGCTATCAATCTTGGAGCTGAACTGACAGTTACGTCTCTGTGCTGAGGTGGTATGGAACTGATGTACTTATGTACGAAGTTCCGCATTGTACCTGTCTGTCTGTCTGTCTGTATAAAGAAACAAACTAGAGAAAGCAAATAAGTCAGCAAGTGAAAATGTAGTGTATATACATGTATATATATAATGGCAGAGACATTATTGAAAAGTTCTTAAACTTAGTGTCAAATGATGTTTGATGATTTTCAAGATGAACTAATCTATTCAATATAATCACTGCATAGATATTTATGACTTCGAGGCAAAGACAAAAGTTTAAATCGATATTCTATTTAAATAATATATACAAGTGGATATAAAATAATTTAATAAAACGAAATTGAACAGAATTAGACACTACTAGTTCAACGAATTCAGTTTTCTAGGTGAATGAACTGGTGTACTGACAAATGACTTTATACATTACATCAGGAAAACATTTCACGTCCGTATCATTACTAAGAACAATTTAACCGATTGTTGATATTATACAGTGGATTTCGATGAACCTTCATGATATGTTCGTCACTAGGTATGCTTGAAGCTATTACGAGTTCACCTTAGTCGATAAACGCGAACGAGACAATGAACCAGCGTCCAGGTAGGCTACCTTGAATCCCAAGCTGTAAACAGAAGTCTTTGTAAGCGTAGAAGGTATATTCTACAAACACCCAGCAATCATAATACAATCAAGCATACAACTCTCGTTTATTTATACATCATAGAAACGTCCTTTGGTCAGTTACGAAAATAGCACACCAAAATACACAGCAGGCAATCACAGCCATGGATTTTCCTGATGGGAAATGAAATCTCAAGGTCATCTGATCAGCCCATGCTTGCAAACTTGAAATCTAAAATAAGGCATTTTATCAAGCGAGTTCTAGGGATCTAACATCCCCAACACTTCATCTCTACATGTACATCCCTTAGCTGATCGACTTTACATAGTCACCATGACATGATTTAGATTAAGGTAGACTGTGAATACAAACGATACTCAGAACTTGTATTTCGTCTGATCATAAATTTATCAGTTGGATATAATAACTTTAACTGTATGTTGATATTCACATCAGCAGCATGAAGTCAATTCCCTAAAACTTGAAACATTAAAACACATTATGTTTTGCATTGCTGAGTTTAACTAGTCAAAAGGATAGAATATTTATTACATTATTAATAATGGTTTAAATTATCCAGTTTTTCAGACTGTTGGCTGAATACCTGATTAATCTTTACTAACAAAAATTAGTCTTATGCGGATTACTTTTTACATAGTCATACACATATACATATATAATCTAGGTCAATTGATATTCGAAATAACGAACAAAAATACAAAGAAGATTCAATAACTTTGAGGAAATATTTTCAGGTCAACCAATCCGACTTTTTATCACCGAACAAAAATATGCCATTATGTTGGTGTAGTGAATAAATAACAAACACGTTGTATAACAACACTGACAAGTTACTTATTCAATGCGAAAAATCAATCTCGCATTAAAGTAGTTTATGATGGGTGATTTATGATAATTTCATAAGGAAAAAAAATCTTTAACTTA